TGTCTATGTCCTACAATGCAACAACAAATCTACAAAGATATTAGTAACATGTAGGGGTTGAGGCACAAGCAACCTGATTCGTGTGGGTCCCTATTTTACCTGCCAGCTCTTCCTGTATCCTACGTGTCCCTTTCTTTTCATACAGTCAATCAATCAATCAATCAATCAATCAATCAATCAGAATAGAGCTGGAAGGGAGCTTGGAGATCTTCTAGTCCAACCCCCTGCTCAAACAGGAGACCCTGGCCCATACCATTTCAGACAAATGGCTATCTAGTCACTTCTTAAAGATCTCCAGAATTGAAGCACCCACAACTTCTGGTGGCCAGCTGTTCCACTGGTTAACTGTCCTCACTCTTAGGAACTTTCTCCTTAATTCCAGGTTGCTTCTCTCCTTGATTAGTCTCCATCCATTGATTCTTGCCTTCTGATGCTTTGGAAAATAGCTTGACTCCCCCCTCCTCTTTGTGGCAGCCCCTCAAATACTGGAACACTGCTATCAGGTCCCCCGCTCCTAACCCCCCCCTCGTCTCTCTTTTCTCTAGATTAGCCATGCCCAGTTCTTGCAACCATTCTTCATGTTTTCATATGAAAATGTGAAAATATGTTTCCATATGAAAAGTCATCTGTTTTCATTGCCTGGCTAGGTGGCTCAGTGGCTAAGACACTGAGCTTGCCAGCCAGGAAGGTTGGCAGTCCGGGCGGTTCGAATCCCTAGTACAGCTCTCCTGTGTGAGCAGGAGGTTGGACTAGATGACCTCCAAAGTCCCTTCCAACTCTTGTTACTGTTACTATTTTGGCCTCCAGGCCCCCCCCAAGCATCCTTCTCTGCATTTCCCCCAAAGTCTCAGCCGCCAATCATCCTTCTCTGCCAGTGGTGAAATCCAGATTTTTTTTACTACCAGTTCTGTGGGTGTGGCTTGGTTGGCATGGCAGGGGAAGGATACTGCAAAATCCCCATTCCCTCCCCACTTCTGGGGGAAGGATATTGCAAAATCTCCATTCCCACTCCACTCCTGGGCCAGCCAGAGGTGGTATTTGCCGGTTCTCCGAACTACTCAAAATTTCCGCTACCGGTTCGTCCAGAACCTGTTAGAACCTGCTGGATTTCACCCTGTTCTCTGCCTTTCCCCCAAAGTCTCTGCCTCTTTTTGTGTGTGTGTGTCACCTGGTGCCCAAACTGGGATGCAGAATATTCCAGGTGTGGCCTTAGGAAGAAGGCTGGTACGGACACTTCACCGGATTTTGATTCCCTGCCTCCGTTTTTATACCACCCATTAGCTTCTCTCCCCCACTCTTTTTTTTAAGCTTAGAACTTCGTTTTAATAGCTTCAAGTCGCAGTTTTTGTTTTTTAAAAAAACTTTTCAAACACGGGCGCTGTTTAAGTCGAGTTTCCCCGGATCTGTCCAGCATCAGCACCACAGCCCATCCTCAGGAAGATGGAAGCTGGGAAGCAGAAGACCCCTCACCACCCACTCCTGCTGCCCTCTCTTCCTCTCCTCCCAGCCGTCCCGAACTGGGGAGTGGGGAGGCAAAGTGGCTGGTCCTCCTTTGCAGCCCCTGCCCCCCTCCCCTCCCCTCCCCCTCCCTTCCCTTCCCCTCCTCTCCCCTCCCCTGCCTTCCCTTCCCTTCCCCTCTCCTCCCTTCCCTTCCCTTCCCTTCCCTTCCTCTTTCCTTTCCTTCCCTCCCCCCTCCCTTGCCTTCCCTTCTCTTCCCTTCCCCTCCCTCCCCTCCCCTCCCTTCCTTCCGTTCTTCCTCTTTCCTTTCCTTCCCTTCCCTCCCCTCCCTTTTGCCTTCCTTTCTCTTCCCTTCCCTTCCCTCCCCTCCCTTCCTCCCCTTCCCTTCCTTTCCCTTTCCTCCCCCTCCCCTCCCTTGCCTTCCTTTCTCTTCCCTTCCCTTCCCCTCCCCCTCCATTGCCTTCCCCTCCCCTCCCCTCCCCTGCCCTTGCCTTGCCTTCCCTCCCCTCCTTCCTTCCTCTTTCCTTTCCTTTCCTCCCCTCCCCTCCCTTCCCTTCCGCTCCCTTCTCTTTCCTTTCCTCCCTCCCTTCCTTGCCTTCCCTTCCCCTCCCCTGCCTTGCCTTCCTCTTTCCTTCCCTTCCCCTCCCCTCCCCCCCCTCCCTTGCCTTGCCCGGCACTTACAAGGAGCTAATATCTGCAGGGAGGCTCCGCGGCACGTTGGCCGACCCCACGCAGATGATGGATTCCTTGGTGCAGCTGCAAGTGGCCGGGCAGCGGAGCAGCTTCCTCGGCTGGGCGCGCTGCACCAAGCCCGCCGCCGCCAGCAGCAGCAGCAGCAGCCCGAGAGAGGTGGCCATGCTCCGCTCCTGGCAGCCTGGCTTGCCCTCTCTGCGCGGCAGAGGCGTTTGCAGCTGCTGCTGCTGCTGCTGCTGCTGCTGCTGCGAGTGGCGCGGGAGGCCGGCAGCATTGCTGCAAAAAAAAAAAAAGGAGGCTCGTTCGAGAGCCGCTCCCAGCTCGCGCTTCCTTCGGATTTCAGCTGCTGCCGTTGCTCTTGCTGCCAAAGCCGGCAGCCGCGAGCTTGCTTTCTTTCTTTCTCTCTCTTTCTCTCTCTTTCCCTCTCTCTCTGTGCAAGGGTTTGTGCAGCTGCTGCAGCTGCGGAGCTGCCTCTCCGCCTCTTTCTCCTGAATTATTCAGCTCTTCCCCCCCCCCCCAAAAAAGGCTACTTTGCGGGGGAGGGGTAGAGCTGCTTCGCTTTTTTTTTTTTTTAAATTTGATTTATATGCCGCCCTCTCCGAAGACTCAGGGCAGCTTACAGTGCGTTAAGCAATAGCCTTTATACTTTTGTACATTTATACAAAGTCAGTTTATTGCCCCCACAATCTGGGTCCTCATTTTACCCACCTTAGAAAGGATGGAAGGCTGAGTCAACCTTGAACCTGGGGAGATTCGAACCTGCAGTAATTGCAGACAGCTGGTGTTAAATTACAGTGCCTTGTCTGCAGAGCTATCCAGGCTCTTGCAAAGGAATGGGGTGTTGCCTGCCTGCCTGGGTGTCTTTAACCCCCGAGTCTCACCTGGTGAGGTAGACTGTGTTGACTCAGCCATAGGGCAAGGGTGGGCAACCTTAAACTCTCAAGGGAGCCTGGTGGCGCAGCAGACTAAAGCACTGTTATTACATCATTATTAACATCAGCTGTCTGCAATTAAGTAAGTTAGAATCTCACCAGGCTCAAGGTTGACTCAGCCTTCCATCCTTTCTAAGATAGGTAAAATGAGGACCCGGATTGTGGGGGCAATAAGCTGACTTTGTATAAAATATACAAAAGTATTAATGTGGATAAAAGAAAGGAATCATACAGAGTCAGATACATGAGCTCTAAAGGACCCTCTCTATTCACATTATTATAAGAGAGAAAGTGCTTGCTTGGAGATTACATTAAAAGCAGCTAAACCCATTAAGTGGTAATATATCTTCTGATGAGACCTAGATGTCACGGAAGGACAGCCATATGGAAAACATCTGAGTGACCTCACTGTGAATGACACAAAGACCTATATGTTACAAAGAGTTACTTAATCCAATAAATTTACCCAAGGACAGCAGTAACTCTCCCATTAATAACTACAAGCAAGTTGTGTAGCTAAGATAATTTTATAAACTAAAAATAATGGTTTACTAATGGTTTATTAATTAGGAAGTGTGTCAATTATCATATGACAGGTGTGTGTTAGCCATATATGGAGAAGTATGATCTCATGTTGACCATATATGGAAATGCATGATCTCACGGAATCCTTTGTCTTAGAAATGTATAAAACAGAGGTAACACAGCTCTTTGGTTGTTCAAAGCTTCAAGTAAAAATCTGGCTCTGAACCTTGCGCAATAAAGCTGTCTCTGGCTGACCCAGGAATGTTGTTTGGTCCCTTCATTCCACAACAGTATGAAGGCTATTGCTTAATGCATTGTAAGCCGCCTGAGTCTCGGAGAAGGGCGGCATTATAAAATCAAATAAAATTAAAAAAAATCCATTTGGACTCCTTTCCACAGAAAGGAAAACTCCGGGAGCCACAAAACCCTTCCGTGCCTGACTACTTTTCGGGGGAGCGGCTGCAGAACTAGCGTATGTAGTTGAATTAAACATTCTGAAACTTTTCTTTTCTGGGATTTATCCATGGTTGGCCTACCGAGGGGATCGAAAAGCTCAATAAATTGTGTGCCGGCGGGTATCGCACCTTGGCGGTTGTCATATTTTCAGCGACAGGGAGCCACAGCAGAGGAATGAAGGAGCCAGGTGCCTTCCCAGCCTCTTCCTGGATAATAAGCCTGCCCCTATCTATCTATCTATCTATCTATCTATCTATCTATCTATCTATCTATCTATCTATCTATCTATCATCTCATTACCCTAACTATTATCCTATCTGTCTGTCTGTCCATCTATTATCCTATTTTTCTGTCCATCCGTCCATCCATCAATCCATCCATCCATCCGTCTGTCTATCATCTATTATCCTATTATCCTGTCTGTGTGTCTGTCCATCCATCCATCCATCCATCCATCCATCCTTCCATCATCCATCCATCCATCCATCCATCCATCCATCAATCCTTCCATCCTCCCTCCCTCCCTGCCTCTCCCTCTCTCATCTATCTATCTATCTATCTATCTATCTATCTATCTATCTATCTATCTATCTATCTATCTATCTATCTATCTATCTATCTATCATCTTATTATCCTAACTACTGTATTATCCTGTCTGTCTGTCCGATCATCCATCCATCCATCCATCCATTATCCTATTTTCCTGTCCATCTGTCCATCCGTCCATCCGTCCATTCTCTCTCTCTCTCCCTCCCTCCCTGCCTCCCTCTCCCTCTCTCATCTCTCTCTCTCTCTCTCTCTCTCTTCTCTCTCTCTCTCTCTATCCATATCTATCTATCTATCTATCTATCTATCCTTGCTTAACTGAACCTCTGACCTTGGTTCTTAAGACTTGCAAGTTCTCAAAACTTGCAGGTTCTGGCATATAACGGAGAAGCCCCTCTCTTCCAATTATTTCACCATGAGTGGTCCATGGAGGAGAAACAGCAAACTTAGGAACAGGATGCTACCAGAAGCATATCTTTTGAGCCCTCAGAGAGCAGAGAAATCGAGACCTTCCAAGGGATATCTCTCCATACTTTGGAGACTGATAGTTTCTCTCCTGCTCAGCCTTAATGCTTGGCTTCTTCTCACCTCTGCTCCCCATTCCTAGTTGATGGAATCAGGAATAGGGCAACACCAGCGATGTTAAATATTTATTCTGTTTTTATATGGCAGGAGCTTAGACAACTCCTGGCAGTCGGTGTACGAATGTTTGAAACTTAAGACTCAAAGTTGAGATCAGATCACAGCTGAGAACACTCTGAGCCTATTGACGGGAGGAGACGGCTAAACTTAAATAATAAAAAGGGAGCGAATAATAACAAACGGGAATGAATGAAAGAGGATCCCTCTGGATTTAGAGCCACCAGGTCGGATGAGACAAGCAGAACCTACATCGGAGCAAAAGGATCAGAGGGCATTTGGGTTTTTTGGCCGAGACCGTTCTCCAGAAAAGTATGATCTCCAATGTCCTTTTGCTATTAATATCTTTCTCTTTTTTTTTTTATTTAAAAAAAAAATCTTTTGTTAGCGAATAGATCAAGGGAACCTTCTCTAGGTTGTCCAGCCGATGGAGTTGTACCACTTCACTCTCTTCGGTGGCATTCAGCTTAGAAAACGGGACCTCTCTCCTTTCAGCTGTTGGGATCAGCTTTCCACAATGTGTTTTTTAAGGGACACGTTGCATTCTGAATGGGATGCAATCAGATAGTCCCCGACTTACAGCCACAATTGGCCTCCAAATTGGGGGTGGTGGTGTTATAAATTGAGGATTAGCGGCATCCCATTCTAAGCAAGGCAGTTGGGAGGTTGCACTGTTTCTCCCCGCCTTCACTCCCATCGTTTGCAGGTCACTTAAATGACTTAAACACTCCTTCCGCGTTTCATGTTTATCCGGAAGGACGGACTCTCTTCCTCTCTAAAAAGAGGGGTTCGCCTGGATGGGGAGGAAGGGGTGGTGGGGAGGATGCTTTTTGAAAAAGTGGAACCACCACCACCACCAGCAGCAGCAGCAGCAAGCTCCCAAGAAAAAGTTTTGGAAAAGAGAAAAGTGAACACATTAATTGGCAACTCTGAAATAGATGAAGGAAAGACTTGTCTTCATGTGCATTTTGAATTTCCTTTTCCTTACAATAAATACGCCTTCCTTCCTTTCTCCCTTCCTCCCTTCCTTCCCTCCCTCCTTCTTTCCCTCTCCCTCTTCTCCCCTCACTCATCATTTCATCCTTTCTCCATCCCTACTTCTTTCCTTCCTCCCTCCCTCCTTTTTCCTTGTCTCCCTCTCCCCTCATCCATCCATCCATCCTTCCCTCCCTCCTTCCTCCCGCCCTCCTTCCTTCCATTATTCTTCCTTCCTTCCTCCTCATTCTTCCTTCTCTCCCTCTCCCCTCATCCATCCATCCTTCCTCCCTTCCTTCCTTCCCTCCATCCTCCCTCCATCCTTCCCTCTCTCATTCTTCCTTTTCTCCCTCCTTCCTTCTCTTCCTTCCTTCCTTCCCTCCCTTCCTCATTCTTCGTTCTCTCCCTCCCCCCTCATCCATCCATCCATCCATCCTTCCTTCCCTCCCTCCTCCCTTCCTCCCTCCTTCCCTCTATCATTCTTCCTTCCTTCCTCATTCTTCCTTCTCTCCCTCTCCCCTCATCCCTCCATCCTTCCTACCTTCCTTCCCTCCCTCCTCCCTCCCTCCCTCCTTCCCTCTCTCATTCTTCCTTTCTTCCTCCCACATTCTTCCTTCTCTCCCTCCTTCCCTTCCTTCCTTCCCTCCCTCCCTCATTCTTCCTTCTCTCCCTCCCCCCTCATCCATCCTTCCTTCCTTCCCTCCCTCCTCCCTCCCTCCCTCCTTCCTTCCATTATTCTTCCTTCCTTCCTCCCTCATTCTTCCTTCTCTCCGTCTCCCCTCATCCATCCATCCTTCCTCCCTTCCTCCCTCCCTTTCCTCCCTCATTCTTCCTTCCTCCCTCATTCTTCCTTCTCTCCCTCCTTCCTTCCCTTCCTTCCTTCCTTCCTTCCTTCCTTCCTCCCTCCCTCCCTCCCTTCCTTCTCTGCCCCCCTCCCTCCCTCCCTTAACCATCTTTTGCATGCCTCCAAATTTCCACCGCGGGCCTTCCATTTCACCTGGTTACCACATTAAGCCGCATATTTAAAGATGGGGACCTCAACGCCTCCCACCTGGGTGCAGAGTAAAAGGCATTCCTTTACGTTGTTGTTGTTGCTATATGAATAATAAATAGCTAATGATGCAACGTAGATTAAGGAGCAGAAAGCCTCACAGGAGGATGACAAGGCAGTTTTCCGGAACGGTGGCTTGTTTTACTTCACTTTCTTCGAGAGGCGAATTTTACCTTTTCCCAGAGCGGAAAACGAGCTCATTTTGCCAACTCTTGTTAATTCCA